CTCCCCTGCCATCCTACCCACAGCCCCGCTGAGCCCTTCCCTTGCTGTCAGGAGCCAAAGTTTCCCCTGATGATTGCAAGCAGCCCCCAAAGCAAGGCTGCAGGCTGTTGATGGGGGCGGGGGGGGATGCCATGTCTTGTCTTGTGCTTTCAAAGGTGCCCTAAGGGCTGCTTCCCAAAGGTGGGAAGGGGAAGCTGGGATTTACTGTGTGTGCACGGATTGTGTGTAACACACATACGCTCCATATCTCCCTGGCAGATGTATGACAACTCTTGCCAGCCTCATGTACTCCAGCAGCTCCTGAAACCCAGCTGTGCAAGGTGCTGTACAGTTGCATCAGGTCTAACTAGCACCTCTTAACCTGCTGGTACTGCACGTATGGGTCTTCCTCAGCAGCATTTGCATTATAGCTGCTCTGATTAGCCCCTCTCACTGTTTTTGGTCTCTCTGTTCCCAAGGGCCATCACGTCACAGTAAATTGGGCAAGGTTGCGTGGGGAGAAGTGCTTTTGTTAGACCAACTGTTAAAGAATGTGGAAAAAATAGATGAGCCATTGGGTGCACGAGCCCTTGTTCAGAGCACTGCAGCGTATCGTAGCAGAGCAAGCGCCCACTTGCTGCATTTCATGCTCTGGCAACACTGGTGCTTCCTCTTCAGGAGCTGCCTGTGTTGGGGACACGGTGCCAGGCTGATCTAACAAGGCACGGCCCTGTCTTGGGTGAAGGATAGAGTGCATGGCTTTGTTTCCCCTGAAACTCAGAACGTGCATGGGACAGTTGTGTCAGGGACCATGTGCAAACATCTTTGGTGGCTTGGAGGCCACAGGATAGCGACTGCACCCTGGGACCAGTGCTAGGCACTGTGGAGGAGAAGGAAAAGGGCCATTTCTGGATGGGGAAGGGGCAGCATCAGGAGGGGTGAGCCTGCCTGTGGAGGCAGGAGGTATCGACTGGGTATGGACCCTGCAAACTGCCTGCTGACAGCCCTGCTGCAAGGGACCGGCATGTGCTCATGGCTGGGGGAGGCAGGAATGTACCAAGAGAATGCACGGCTTGGAGGGAGGTCAGTGCACAACATTGGACGGCCGTGTAATGTGGCGTCCCTGGGCTGTTCTGGGGGACAGTGATGGCATTTTACATGCAGGGAGGGTCTTTACGGTCTGTGAATCTGACAGTCTTTTGCTTTAACCATCTGCTGCAACTAACTTTCCGCACAAGGCACCAGCTGCGCTGCAGCCGCATCTCCCTGCACTTCGTCTCTTGGGAACTGGCTCCTGGCAGGCAGATCTGGCAGGGCCCGCTGTGTGTTCACCTAGGGCTGCTATTTATGAGGCAGCTACAGCAAAGAGGCAGCATTCCTAGTGCCATTGGCAGCTCCCGGCCTGAGCCTGGGCCATGGGGCTGGTCTCGCCACAGCAGTGGAGCTGCATAGAGAAGGGAGCAGAAACTTGCCTTATATTGCTTCTCCGATGAGACAGCTGCCTGGGGGGGCTCTGGCATGTCCTGGCTTTCATGCTCACTGGCCGGCTCCAGAGCATCCTTGCTGGGATGCACGTTGCTGAGGAAGGAGGGTTGCTCTGCAGCCCTCCCAAGGTAGTGTTTTTCAGCGTGGTGGTAGCGAGGCCTCTCCTGATGCCTTGGCTGCTTTTCCTGCTTTGCAAAGGCAGGCGCTGAAACACAGAGGTGCCCAGCTGGCTGCATGGCCAGGGCCGGGTGTTCGGATCAATGTTGCTGAGGGGATCTTGCTGCCTTCAGCTGCTTCCCCCGTACCTTCACATGACCCTGAGCCAGCTGGCTGCCAGCCTGCTCCTACCATGGGGCAAGCCTTGGCTTTTCGGTGTGGGGCAGCTAAGGCTGCTGGCCTTCTAGTCCCTTTTACTGCACACCCAGTAGCAGAGGGACTGCAGCAAAACCACTGAGTTCAAGGAAAACCTCTCTTCTTACCCCATCAGAGAGGGGATGCTGTACCCTGGAGGCCCTGGGCAGAGGGCAGTGGGGCAAGTTGTGCATACAGTGAGGCGCCTGGAAGAAACGACCCAGCCCGTGGTGAAGACAGGTGCCGGGCCGCGATGTTCGGCTCGTGCCCCCATTGACTCAAGCCCCCTCCCTGAAGCCCAACTGCAGCAAACAGTGACACGGGGAGCTGCAGTCCCCAGTGTCATTTACATAACCCTTGCCGCGCGCGGCGGCACAGCAGCTTGGGTCTGCACAGGACTGCAGCCTGTCTCCAAACCAGCGTCTCTTCCTCTGCTTCCCTCCCTGGCCCCTGCCATGGCCCTGGGCTTCACAGTCCTGCTCCTGGTGGGGACGGTGCTGACGGGTAAGGCCAGCGTGGCCAAGCTAGCTGCCGTTCGGGGGAGGCGCTGTGGGCCGCGGGCAGGACTGAGCTGGACGTGGGAACACTGGCCTGAGCGGGGTGGTTTGCTCCAGGGCTGTGTGGTGAGCAAGATGGAGGATGGGTTCTTGGGCAGGTGGGTGACTCCAGCGGGTAGCAGGATGTTTTGGAGCAGGGGGAGGTGGGGGGGGGTGGCTCAGCCTGTCAGTAACTGTGTCCTTGGTTTGTGCAGCTTCCAGGGCTCAGCCTGTGCTGACCCAGCCACCTGCCGTGTTAGTGCTGCCAGGGCAGACCGCTCGGCTGTCCTGCACCCTGAACCCTCAGTACAATATCAGCAAGTTCGGCATCTCCTGGTACCAGCAGCGTCCAGGGCATTTCCTGAGGTATCTGCTCTATTACAAATCGGAGTGGGACAAGCACAAGCCCCCTGAGATTCCTGACCGCTTCTCCGCTACCAAAGACCTTGCCAGCAATGCCTGTATCCTCATTATTGAGGCTGTCCAGGATGAAGACAACGGCAACTATTACTGCGCGCTGTTGCGCTCCATCAGCTGGCTGTAGAAATGGGGAACCAGAGCTTTCTGCCTTTCCCTTGCGACCCCCCATGCTGAGCCCTTCACAGGCAGAACAGCAGCCCTAGAAGGAATGGAAGAAGAGCCTCCTGCATGCTTGAGCGAGCCCAGCAGCACCGTGCCCGTTGTGCTCATAGGCTGTGAGGCGTAGCAACCTCCTGTTCAACCCAAGATCCCCCGTGGAGCATTAGGCAGCCCTGATACGGTGTGAGAGAGACCTGCCAGTCCTCAGCCCAGGAATGCATGGGAGCAGAGATGTCCCCCCCGCGGCAGGTGGTGGAGAGCTCTGCAGCAGGCTCCTACAGCACTCGGCAAAATGGGGCCTTGGTCCTGGCTAGGGCTTCTCCACAGTTTGGCCCTGCTGATAATAAAGGTTAATCCTTAGCCATGTGGCTGGTGTCATGTGCATGGAATCGAGAGGAACCTCTCAAGCATTGCTCTCTATATTTGTGGGGCTGTCGGGGTGCCCAGAGGTACACAAGTTAAGAGTGATGAAGCAAAGGCGCTATGTTTTTGAGTCTGGTGGGATTTCCCAGGCCTTGCTGGAGCTGTGGTTTTTGCAGCTCCATTGCCCATCCTGAGCCTTGCCAGAGCTGGTGTTCCCTGGAGGGCTGGAGAGCCCCTCCGTGGATACCAATCCGCAGTGCCCTGTGGACTGGCAGTCTGCACCACAGTGGTGTTCCCGTACGGAGAAGTGAGACAAAATCCCCCTGCCCGGCCTCACGTTCCCATGGGGTCTGAGCTAGTCCTGGCAAGGAGGGGTCCATGGCCAGGGAATGGCCATTGAGGACACGGCAGGGCTAGCTGCCCCAGGTACAGCACCAGGGAGTCGCTGTGAGGCTGTGCTGGAAGGGCTGTGTGGGGAAGGGCCTGTGATGGAGGCCAACGTAACGCTGTGCAACGGAAGTGCCCTGATGAAAACCTCCTATGGGAGGCTGCGAAGCCCCTGCCTGTCTGCTCAGTCCAGGGCCCCACACAGGAGAGCGCTGGGGCTGGTATGGCCACCTGTGCTGGCAAGGCTGGGGCGCTGGGAGCTCCACTGGGACATCCCTGTGTGGCTTTCGGCAGCCTTCCACGGGGCAAGGGGGGCTGATGAACCCAGTAGACCCTCACCCACAGCAAGGGCCTAGGACGGCAGCTGGGAGCTGAGGAGCGCTGGACTGGAGGTGAGGAATGGGGTGGGATCTGTGTCTTTGTACTTTGTGCCACCCTAGGCACTCCTGTGTTTCCCCCTGGCTGTGTTTCTGTGCTGTAGTTCATCGCCCTGTTGCATGCAGGGCAGGGCTCTTCTAAGGGATGGACTTTAGGGTAAAGAAACCAGGGCAGATTTGCATGGAGGGGCCGTGCTGCAGGCGGGCGGGGGTTTAAGAGGGGTCGGGGGTCCGCGGCACAGCCCCGTCGGCGTGGGGACGCGGAGCTGGTGGGATCGCGCCATGGCCTGGGCCCCTCTCCTCCTTGCAGTGCTCGCCCACAGCTCAGGTGGGAGAATCTCAAACACTGGATGCATGGCAAGCTTTGCTGGGTCCCTCCTGGTCCTGCTGGGTTGATGACCCCTTTTGTGCTTCCAGTGACCTTTTACCAGGTGTTTGGCAGTGAGGAGCCCCAGCACTGGTGATCCCCAGCGGGATTGTCACTCTGTCCCGCAGCCTGAGCACGGGGGCCATCGCGTCCAGCAACTAGCCCACGGGTTCCAACAGAAAGATGCCTCTGCCCTCAAAGGACCATCTACAATACCAGTAGCAGACGCTCAGGGAGCCCTCCATGGTGACGAGGCAGTGTATTACTGTGGTAGCAGCAGTGATGACACAGTGACACCGAGCAATGGGGAAGTGAGACAAAAACCTTCTGCCATCACAGGGACCATTGAGCGGTGTCTGCTGACTCCTCCTGATGGTCCCACAGATCCCTACTACAGGCCCTCCCGTGCTGCCACGTGCTGCACGTGCTCTGTTGCGTTGCTGAGGAGGTGTAGCCTAAGGATGAGCCAAGGCCTTGTAAAGCTGGCCCCCATGTGCAAAGAAGGAAGGGAAAGGAGGCAAAAGAGAGAAGCAGCAGAGCAAGAGGGCAGTGCAGCGGGAGCCGGGGGGTTGCAGTTCAGTGGCCCCGTTACCCTGCGGCGCCGCGGTTCAGACGGGTTTCACGTGTTTTCATCCCCGTCGCTCGCGGGCCCCAGGCCGGAGGGCCGCGCAGCTCCGCTCGCCCCGTCTCTTCGCAGGCGCCGGCGCCTCCCCTCTCCCCGCACCCCAGCGTCTTCCCCCGCCCCAACGTCTCCCCACAGCTTCTGCGTGCAAAAGGACGCGCTTGATCACACGGGCATCTCTGGGCAGTTAAATGGACGTTTTCACACAGAAACATGAAGTGT